CTGCTTCCCAATACATCCAAAACGGTACTGGGTTATTTAGTTCAGTTTCGATTGTAAATTTGATACCTTGGAATATCGTGTTGAGCAGTTCATTTGCATTTTCGACCGCAGTTCGGAGGGAACTGTTCAAGTGTGGGGATAAGTAGACAGGTCAACCAACTAGGAATGTCCATCCTCCCAACCAGGCCGTGTGAGCCTGGAGCTCATGGAGTTCTTTTATCAAAAAGAAAAATGCTTTTTCTCAATTACGACAAGCAATTGAGACTTCGAATGCTACATGTCGAATCATAATTAACGAAAAAACATCATGTTGACCGGACATCCGTGTGTTCAGGTTGATTGACAGTTGTGAGCATATAGGTCAGCTAAGTACAATTATTTTTGAAGTGGGATGAGGTTTGTCGTATGCTCTAACTCAATCTACATTCATTGCAAGACTTCTGTATGTATGCGTTTCGCATAGAGTGAGTCATAGTGAATGGCAGGTGGGTGTGAATAGTCGTTCCCGTTGAATACAATTACCGGAAGCATACTTTAGATTTATGCTGTTTTCTCATGACAAACTATTTTATTCCTATAAAGCGAATGGTCACCTTACCTGTAGTGATAACCGACATGTAGAGGAGTTGTTTAGTGGAGAAATCTCGAACTTATTAAGAATGCGAATTTGTTCTTGCTGGTTTGCAATTGTGGACTACTTAACTGGAGCGGGGAGGGTGCAGTAACAGACAAATCTTTGGATCCTAATCTATTTACTAGTCCTTCAAGTGAATATCGAGTAATCTGAATGATTCCTTGGTTCAAGGAAAAGTGTGATTTTTCAGTATTTCTAGTGCTAGTTCCAATCCCTTAATGTGCTGCGATCGTAGTAAATTTCGGGAGCTAAAAGAGATTTCTTTAACATGGTTGAGAACTTCAATCAGTTTAGCCAGATTTCTGAATACATCTTAAATCAGGGCGAACTTTTTTCGTATTTCAAACTCCCGAAACGAAATTTGTTCCAGAAGAAGGCATAATTTGTGTTCTTAGTTACGCCAGTTAATCAAGTCAGCAATTATTTGGCTGGTGAGCTCTACGAATGTCAGACAGTCTCGTGCGGCAGTAGACGTACATCTCTTCTACACAAAAACTAGCTTTGATAATGGCTGTCTTGTACTGCTTTTAGATGTAAATTGCCTCCAAGCAGATCATCGGCAGTTCTGAGGAGTGTTTGGCAGTAACGCCATGCCTGAATTGATGTGGTGGTGGAATGTTTTTACTTGCGAGACAACGAAATTTAACTTTGTAGGATCTCCAATATTAGAACACAACTATCCGACTATACTTTATCCGAATGATCCGTGTAAAACAGCTCGTACACTTCACTGACCAAAGTAAGCAAAACAAACAGCTTTTATTGAAAAAAATCGCACCCTGCCAATTAAGGACAGGCGCCGATGGGCATGAACGGTTTCAGCATGTCGGGCTCCAGAGAGTAGAGCAATGTTTGGGGTCAGCTTTTACAAACCCACATCACATCTGTCAAATTGTGGATCCGTAGAAGTAAATCAAAAGGTGGAAGAGCTTGGTACCGCTGGTTAGAGCCAAAGTCGACTGAACATGAGGAAGCAGCGAACCGTAGTCTAATTCAGGGTGAACATCTCAAACTAAACGCATAGTACACTTTAGTTTAGTGATGACTTGATTTTACTGATGATTAGGAGGTTTGTGCTAGAAGAGAAACCGGCATATCAAATAACCAGGATCATTCCGCAGAGGATCACTGATACTGTCTGTGCTCTCTGGACATCCTTTATCTCGTTCCTTACCAAAACAGCGCTTTCATCATCAGACTAAGTGGCTGCCTCGCTTGTCATCACACCAGCCCTCAGCATTAAGTGTTACTTGCCAAGGTAGTTTGTGGAGTGTTATTTACTTGTGTATGGATGAAATGAGTCACAATTCCTTGCAGGTTTGAGGCACTATCCAGTCGCCTACTACATCTGGTTGCCTATTCCACTGTAACATAGAGCATACTGATGTAATGAGGAAAGCCTTTCACTGCGCAGTTGTTCATCGAGAAACACCAACGAAACAGCTACAAACTACGGGCAGGAAAGAAAACCTCTCATATCCACATTGTTTTTTTAAGAACTGAATGTCCCTCTTCTCAAATGCCTCTTCCTGAGCTTGCCTAGATATTCATTGACCGTCACGCAGTTAGACGTAGGCTAGTCAAATCATTCATAGATGCAACAAGGTCAATCGATATTACTAAGAGTTCTATGTTTTCCTCGTTTCACGTAATTATCATCCATCAGAGGGACTCCAAAATGAGGTACAGTAAAGCAAATGCAACCAGTGGAGTAAAATCTAGTGATACTGCATATGCTTATTTTGCGGGATCGAGACCGGGTGCACTCAGTCTACGAGAACTCTGACTAGCTGCAATGCTGAAGGAACAGATTTGGCATGCACATATTTATTGAGATTGCATTCCCAAGGATGTATCTCCTGATTTCTTGTTTGTTAAATCCTTGTTAATGTACGAAACTTTCTTTTGAAACTTTCATACAAAACTTTCACTTTCCTCCCTTCTGCATGCAAACAGCGTCCATACTTGTATTTTCTTGTCGTGTGTGGAAAAAATACCTTTCTGCCTACCTGTTAGAACTGTGTGTAGGTATGGTTAGCCGTGCATTGCTTTCGTGTTATGTGATCACCATACAGTTGAAGGAAACACCAAAAGACGAGTACAAAAAGGCAAAGCCATTCGGGTTGATTGCTTACTGGCACACGCTGCACTTTTAAAGGGTGTCAAAAATACCATTCAAGAGACTTTATATAATGAATTTTCATTAGCCAGTCAAAATTCTTACTGTTATTAGACAGTACCATTAAAATTCCTCTATCAGGAATCGACTCAGGAGTTGAGTTCTGTGCATCACCTACAAATTGGCCAGCACCATTTCATATGTGGCATTGCTGACGAAATGAAACAACGCACATATCTTGAATATGTACGTGACCGAGCACTCCGAAGCCAAAACTAAGCAGTTAATGCAACTGGCGCAGTGTTTTTTACGCACTGGTATCTATGGCTGAGTGATGATGAGATAACTGACCCTTTTCGAGCAACTGCATAACATGCTTGGTGAGGAATAGAATTTCAGTAGCTCAGGCCATTATATTCATTCAGCAAATCGGTGTCCAGACGAATAAACACCCTCCAGATATACACGTTACAGGGCCCAGATGATCAAACCACTCCCCACTGTCTTACAGGCAGGTAATATACCGAACTCAGTTCGTCCGTCTATCCAACAACTAAACACAGGTCGAGACTTCACCTGCACTTTTTTCTTACAAAAATGAGAATTCCTATTTTGTGCCTGCGATACTAACTCTATCCTTAACCGACGGCTTGTCCAGTTGGTTCCGCTCCTTAGGTCAATATGCACAGGCTAACTGTTCATCCTACAAATCCTCTCCGCTCTACTGGTCCTCCACGTTTTCGGTTGTAAATTTGCTGAAGAAAGGAAGTAAGCTTCCATTTGGTCGAACTTGGAAGATACGAGTATCGTGCATGGCGAAGAGTATTTCCTTTCATCGAATGAAAAACTCAACCCAGGCCCCCTCCCTGAACATAAGTCTGTAGAAATATCTTGTACGCCAAAGTAATTTGTTCCAGAGATTATTGTCTTTTAAGGAATTGCTTTTATGAATTGGTTGCATGCCTCTCTTGAGTAAACCCATCGGCACAAAACTTCGAAATAAACGATTGGATAATTATGATGGGAGCAAAGTAGTAGTATAGCGTATGTGGGTTTTTGGCGACCTCGGGTAATTTCATCTTGTCTGTTGTCAGCCATGTGCATAATTGCACGTTATTCATGGAATTGTGTGGGACCAACTGTGTCAACTCGTAAGTTGGCTGTCGTCTATCTAAGGTAAGGGTGTCGTGAAAGATAGGGGGAATATGAAATCACAGCAGTAGCGGAAGTCATGAGGCAAGAGAAGTCTCTGAGGAAAGAGACAGCCCTCACTGCCCCAATCTATCGTCCATATTCACAACAATTAGGAAATGCCAAAGCTCGATTCATTATCAGGATAAGATTGTCGTCGTCAAATTATCTACATTAAATGAAATACTGCTTTAGGAGATGCAGTTGAACGAAATACTCACAAAGCCGTAGAGTTTGACTGCTTGTTTGGAGAACTAGTGGGACAACAAGTTATTGGTAGGAGCCATCACCTTTAGTCATGACCCAAATAATGGATACAAATGAGCGAGAATTCGGTGGGTGTCCACCAAGAAGCATCCGTCACGTCGAGAGCAGTCTGCTGCCTATATTAATTACCGACTCACAACCTCCATGACTGCTAATGACTGTTTAAAGTCCTTGAAGTTTACGGGTTACAAAAGTTCCACTTGGCCTGTGGATATCTGATATGGGAGTAATGGCAGTAGTGTCTGTGTCCTGGTGGATATGTGGCGGGGTCGTCGGTCGGTTTACATTTCGTTGTCAGTATCCTCCTGGAAATCCACTGAGAACACATACTACCACATTTCAACTGATTAACCGTCTGATCAATAGAATCCTAAGTGGAAGAAATTTGATTTTTCTTCATCATTCGGTCGTCATAAAGCGATGAATTCTCAACTCTACTTTACGACTGAATAAGTTTTCTTGAAACGGATATTAAATCGAACATTCAAGGCATTGACAACCATGAATGGACCATTTATACACTTTCTAATTACAAGCATCCTTATTACTTGCTGGAACTTGGTTTGCACGTTCCACATCAATGCCTAGACGGTTTATTGTGGTGCATATCGTATTGAAATCTCACTTGAAGGGAAGATACCTTCAATGAAGGAGATAAGACAAATGCATACGCATGGGAAAGTACTTGAAGGCAAATTAAACATCTATTCATTCTTCGACATAGAAAACGGGAAAAATTAATCATACTGTTATCACTGAACAACCTGTTTACATACAGTGAAAATCCTATGTACATCGCTTTCACACAATACTATCCAGGCTTGAGCCCATTGCAGAAGCTTTAATTGAAGAGTCGTTCGTTGACTGGTTGGTAAGTACAGCCGGTACGATCAAACTACTTGAGGTTGTTCGGGTAAATGCGGCTGGTGAATGGGGAATATACGATGACATGTCAGCTTTGGCTTCTATTTTAGTTGCTACATCGGCAGTCAGACTACCAGCAGGCACGGCGTTTGGAAGGTGGCCAGTCGAATGCCATTTGCCTTCAGTGGGGACCAACAACGGCTGTTCATAGGGTGTCAGCTGGTGTATCGTCTGTGATGAGGACGAAGAATCATCAAATGCGCAATTCGCGTTATCGCCAAATTCTGTTTTTGAAAAGACCTGAGCCGGTAGAAAGGAAGAGGCTACACAGATTCTGGTCCAGAATAAGTCCCACAAAGCTGAGATGAGCTCACCAGCAACCAGTTCACTGGCATTCATCGAAACAAGCCAGATGACGAAAACACCATTACAGTCCAGGTATTTATCAACAAAGAAGTTCAACGAACGCTTGTTCAGCTGTTCACAGCCATAAGGGAATTTCCATGGTATGAGGAATTTATGAATGAAATTGCGACGACGATGTGGAATGCTCAGACGTGAAAGCCACTTGAGCAGGCTGTAGGTGGTCAACAAGGCGACAAATATAAACCAGAACCACAAAAAGACGTACACTTTCTCCAGGAAGAGGTTTAATGGGAGGACACATTGTAATGTATACCTGAGAATAGAAAGAAAAAGTTGAGGGCGCAGTTCAGTGGACTGAGAAGTTGTGACTTTATAGAAAATGACGTCGATGATCTACCATAGCAGAAATTATTCGCTCATCTGCCCAGTTTTTTTCTTCGGAAAAGAATGATCAACTTCTACCTATAGATCATAACTTCGTAAATTACATCACTATCACACCTTACAATAACAAAACCAGTGTGAGTGTCTTGGGATTAAACACGGACTTTCTTTGTGCGCAAAATCATGTTACGAGGGAAGCTCCTGGGGAAAAATGGAATGTGGTGAGCTTAAATAATACGGAACAGCGGCGCAGCTAGGATATGAACTTCCTGCCTTGAAAAGCGTATATTAGTAGCGATTACTGTCGTGTGGAATTTTACCCCTTCTTTTATAGAAGCCACGATTAATAAAAAAACGAACTGGTGGTCTTAACCGTGCTATTTTTCAGGAACCAGGTTTGGGAGCGCTGAAAGTTTGTCTCGGGCCATTTTATAGTATTCGAATGCGCTGAATTACGTTGCTTGAATATAGTGAAATTCAGGGCAACGCGAGCAACCCCTCTTCATAGCTGACTGATATTATCTCCATCTCCGTCTCATACACGTTTGATGCAAATGATAACGCACTATGATTCCATCCTGAGTCTACCAGAAGTAACTGAATAAACATTTTCGACGAGTGTATTTGCCACCGGTTCAAAAGGGAAATACTCACGCCTTTTTGTGGACGCGCTCGAAAGCATATCGATACGGAAAAGATGTATATGAAACAAAGAAACACGTGAGGGCCGATTGTCATAATAAATGGACAGCATTGTTTACCATAAATGAAAAAAGGCTAGTAACTCGGTAGTCACAAACGTGCTTCTTCATAGCAGTTGGATATCATTAATAGTTAGAGGAAACCTCGAAGAGGGATCTTTAATTATTATTGTCACTGTTATCGTTCAAATACCCTTCACCATTCGGGACGCCTAATCTTTGATCTGAAAGCCAGAGGTAGAGCACATCAGCGATTGTATGACCGTGTTCTTTATTCCTGCTTTTTTCGAAGAAAATACTACCAACAATTCTACTTTAACTAGGTTTTCTTGGTATTTTCTCCCAGTCGTTCGAAAAATTCATATTACTCAACAGGTATCCTCAGATAATTCGAGCAACATCAAGAACAAATCACTGTTTGACGAAACCACTAGAGTGTATATAGTTTCGTGACTTATTGTTAGGTTGTCTAACGTCAACCCAGTATTTGTTGTGGTGTGACAAGAGCAAAGGTGATGTTCAAATCACGGGGTTGCGTCTAAAGCATAAATGAAAGGGGTTAAAAGTGGCGGGTTTGAATGGAAGGTGAATCCAATCTTTTGAGAATTACTTTGATGCTAACTAGCTATCAACTAAATATATCGTTTACCATACTCGTTAACTAACTGGGCCACACAAGTTGGCCTCGTTTCAGTTGGGACCTGATCCGAAAAATCGCAGTATATAGTTTTGAGGGAGTGAATTGGCTTGGGGATAGAGTTTTAACTAACGCAACGCCCGACTAAAACCATGGTTGTCTTGAAGTGCAGTGTAACTGTGACTGGTAACTGCCCACTTCAAAGGTGCGTTCAAACGAGTTTAGAAGATAACTCGGGTTCCACTTTTCAGCTAGGAACTGAATGAACATTGTAAATTGGCATCTAATTATCACATTTCTATCGGTGCACTTTCAGATTCCTGCCGGATCATCTGGAGCATTACAATGAGACACCTAAGAAAAGTCAGGATATCTTGGTCACGCAAATACCACTGAGAAGAGTTGCCTGTGAATAATGAAAAAGCTTACTTGTAATTTTTTCCTGTCTTCTTCGCTTCAAAATCGCAATAGGTCACCCGAGGGAAATTTCCGGTTTGCGTCCAAGGCTTCCCGTTAAGCAAATCGTAGAGTACATGTAATCCAAAGATATAAGAATCGGTGCCAAGGAAGTACTTTAAAAAGCACAACTGGCCCAATATATTGAGCAGGTATAAAAGTTTAATCGTTGTATACAGGTAGAAAAGAAATGCGTTGCTCCTTTGAATGCATTTGATCCGCTGAGAACCCCGCATCCAGTGGTATAGGCATCCCGGTATAAGGCATACAAAAGTCGACAAGAGACGACAGACTACCACAAAGCCTTTGCCAAGCATCTTGCATAATCTGGGCAACCAATCCTTCCGTTTGTGAGTGAACAGTACCCCTGAAGTTTGATGTCGCCCATTTTTCCGTTCCGTAGGGTAACTGTGTGCCTCCCCGCTTTCGCCTTGATGAGTCCAACACCACATGGGGCAGTATGTTGATCTAGTGTGCCACTGCCTTGAGGACCGAGAGATGTCCGGATGTTCACCACCTTAATAAAAACACCAGAAATTAACAGATTGGTGCAGTGTGGTACGTAATTTTAAACTGGAAACATTGTAGACAACAAACAATGGTATTATTTGGCTGCAGGAACTTACCCTGATGAAACTTTTAAACCTTTTGAGCTTGGATGTCCTCTTCCGAAAAAAGCGCTATTCTTGACACTAGTGCATTATACAACTGGGTTATGCATTTTACTTTAGTCGCAATCTACCCTAAACGACATGAAAATTACTTGTGCTTCTGAATAAGAGTCAGAAACAAAACCTTTTCCAAGCAATTTCTGATAAAGAGTCACGCATATATTGCACAGCAGATCCCCATGCAATTAGTTTTGGAGACTCATCTGAAGATGAGAGCCGTGTGGTGAAGCAGTCAAACTGACGAAAATACGATGAGAACCACATCAGTCATTTTTTGCATTCGGATGGTGTTTTGTGACACAGGATATTTTATTCTAACTTAATCCACATTTCCACGAATTTATGAGACGGAATCTGTTAATGTGGAAAATACCCGCATCAATAAAAATTCGGAAACTTAAACCAATCCCTTTACTCTGACCTTAGAATACGAGCTTGTGAAAGCCCGCAATTTCTCTGAATGCTCTTTGAAGTGTTGAAGTTCATGTAGGTATACCAGCTATATTGAGAATAGACCTAACTGACACGGCAAATGTCTCCTATGTACTCCAGATATCTGAAAGTAGCCGTCACTTGCTGTGCAAATTAGTATTCGCACGTGAACTCAAGGGAACTCATCCTATTAAATCCGAAGAACTTAATCACCCCTCAGAATTGTGCCGAATTCTCGTAAAAGATAGAGTGTCTAATAGAACTGCGCTTACATGGGGCAGCCCATCAGACAACTCAAGGTTCGAAACTGAAAACTGTTTGCAGATACTCACCAAGAAATGCTGGTGAATTAAACACACTGGCGCATGAGTAAGCTACTGTATTCCTTGCTTTAAGTGAGAATCGTCGGGATGGACTCATCCTATCCGAAGAACTTAATCACTCCTCAGAATTGTGCCGAATTCTCGTAAAAGATAGAGTGTCTAATAGAACTGCGCTTACATGGGGCAGCCCATCAGACAACTCAAGGTTCGAAACTGAAAACTGTTTGCAGATACTCACCAAGAAATGCTGGTGAATTAAACACACTGGCGCATGAGTAAGCTACTGTATTCCTTGCTTTAAGTGAGAATCGTCGGGATGGTTTTGGTAACTTGTGAAATTTCGATGTTCATGTACCGAGATAATTTGGCGAATTACTTGTCAACCACAAAGTATGAAGTGGTTTTGCAATTTTCACTTGAGATTCTGCCCTGTCAGTTAATCTGTGCTGGAAAACTGTTTAATCCTTATGAGCAATCATCAGCTGTGCGCAACCCATGAAACTCAGAGAGTTTCGGGTCCGCGACCTCCCGCGGAGTGGTTCAACAGTTAACTGTACTTCCCGGAGCGCCTGAAAAGGAGTGTGATTAGCTTTTACTTAAACAGGATAAAGTACCACTCATTTTTCACTCACAGAAACCACTTCACGTAGTGAAGTAATGTATGGCCACTCGAGTAACGGCTTCTCAGATGAATGTTTCACTAACCTTTTGAATGTATTCTTCCATTTAAAATTCCACAAAATGAGTGGAACTTCCATCTGAGTCGTCACTTGAGGTGTTAGTCAATACGTGACCACATGGTGTGTCTTTTACAACTCAAGAACGAGTGGTGCATTATCCAGTTCAAGTGAGAACTTATCACACTTCTGTTCAGCCGCTCCGGATAGAACGACTAAATTTTGAAACAATGGTCGGAGGATCGCGGGTTCAAAACACTAATTTTCATTAGATATGCACTGCTGACGATAGTCTATAAGGATGGAACAGATTCACAATGCTCCTTGGCTTTTTACTGTAGACGGATTTCGCAGCAAAAGCCGGTCAAGCATGGCGAAACCCGACCCTTCAATTCGAAAGCCATGAGATGTTAGCCATTCGCGCACTTTATCAGGAAGGAAGTTGGACACGCGTGTATCCTCTCTCACATAGTTTTTGAAGTTGGAACGTGTGGTCCACGATTCGGATTTTATATATAATTTATATGTATCTTTGGTGGGCTAGTAAACTATGACTTCAATAGCTGGAAAAAAGTGTCATCGAATCAGCAAACACCTCAATCAGAAAGGAAGACAACGCTGGTTGGCCATCAGTAAACCGAAGACTAGTGACGCTGCGCAAACAAAAGGGTTGCATCAGATCTTTATTCTTTCGCTTTTGATCCTCGCGCATAAAGAATAAATCACGTTTCCAGCTTTGGTGAGGGATGACGTGCAACAAAAGAGGAAGCTTGCAGCCAGGGTAATTCATTTTATTTGTTTACTCTGATTTCTGGATATCTGTAAATCCATCACCTTTTGTTAAATCTTCCCACGCATCTTATGGGCAATCGCATCCTTCAGTTACTTGAACCATCTTTTTATTGACAGCGCGAACCGAACTAACACAAACGACTCATCCAGTTGGTTAGCTTTAACAGATAACCCAGACTAAAGTAATAAATAAGGATATTGGTGGCTTCCGAATTATCTCTTTTGTAAAATTTACAAACCGAAGATGATGCACCATGTCGAGCGGAAGAGTCCCGAATAAATAGGAAATGATAGCGTGAGCAGCAGCATTTGTAGGAAAGTGCGTTGTTACCATGTATATCGTTCCATCTGAGGTGGCAGGCGGCTTTTGTGTGACACATTCAGTATACAACAAACAAAAGATTCGGTCAAGCTTTTCTCTAAAATCACTGCGTCTACATACGTTCGGGCGTGTATAAAAGTTGACGAAAAGTCGAGGATTTCGCCTACAGAATGAACATAAAGATGGAAAAAGAGATCGTATGCCGTAATACTACAGGCAGCCTTGTGAGAAGGACTCTATCATCTGGATATGAGCTACGTCACAAGTAATAGTACAGTATTCAATCAGTTTGCGTTTGTGTGAAATCCTCATCATTGGAATTTTTGCATTTCTAGTCGTTTGGGAGCTGATTGAGGACAGATCTATAAAAGTCCGTTCAAACCACAACGAGCTACCGAACTGTCTTTTTCTGGCATTAAAAAGTGCTACCCTGCTATGATTTCTAAGTTCAGTAGTATTGTGTAGCTGAGCTTCATTGAGGCTCAGGCTGAACTGTTAAGGTTTTCCCCAGCTTGACCGAACCTGACAGGTCTAGTGATGTTCCTTTGTTTGCTTCGTTTGAAGACTTGAAAATCGGGGAATGAATTAGCCAATGACTGCGTACTTGCCATGTGTGACCATACGTATCCGTTTACACTTTACTTGTGGCCCAGTGACTGATTTGTCACGATTTGCTTATGCCATAATGACGTTCATCAAGTTGAAATCACTCTTGGGAATACTCACTGTATATTGATATGCATAATACAGATATGTATAATATATCATATTCGTTATAGATGTTAGGCCACTCCACTCACCACATAATCTTCGAACACACGAGCGCACACACTTGGAGCGTTTTAGTTGCTCTTTGCAAAAAATAAATAAATGGGTTCACATCACATGCTCTTCATTCTTCAGGCTGGGTAATCTGCGCCTACACTTCTTGGGGGTGCCTGTTCTGTTGTGCGTTATCGTTCGCAATGCAGATAAACTTTGGGTAGCGGAATTCACTGCATTTTGTTCCCCGTAGAACGCGGGTTAAGTGGTGTCTACATATAGTTTCTTCATGGACATAACGTACTCGTGGTATACAAAGTTTGTTGACATCGCAGGCAAGAGTGAATATTGGCCGGGATATCATATTGTTGGTACCCTCATAAATCCTAGTGTGTTGGTTTGTGGGAAGTTGTAGGATTTGTAGGATTTTGTTCACCTCATTCTCGTTTGAACGGTCAACGTTCTGTATTGGCCTGACTATTCTGAGTAGTCCACACCAAAATGGGGATACGCTTATGTGCGAGAGCCTGTGGAATTATGGTAACACTTCTGCCTTACACTTCAGCTGTTCAGAGTTCAAGTCCAGGGATGGCCAAGGATGTACGCCGCTGATGAATTCTAGTGGGAGAGCAATTGCCTAATGGCTCTCCACATTGTTGCAATCAACCACGATAAATGTGAGAAAGGTAATGGTATGAGTACAACATTGTAAGTGCCACCAAATGATAAGTTGCAGTACGGGTTGGCGGGTGAATTGAAATCACTTTTCTGGTGTAATTAGGATCTATACCGACGCACGGGGCTCTTAAGAGCCAGAAGTCAGGATTTTAAAAAGCAAGCACTCAGCGTCCAGAGTTACAACCCAATTCGTACGCTGTTGTCGCGCAGCACTCAAACATTGAGTGATGTACGTGCTACACCAAGCCGAGTTAAAGAAGTAGTACTCCGGCGGTTTAACTTGACTCTCACCAATCGTTTGTGTTGCTCAAAAAAGAGAAATCGATTGCGTTCCTCCTGTGCACAAAATCAAATCAAAATATAGACCGATAAACAAACAAGGTTTAGGAGGACAATGATGTTTTCTTTAAACCTGTGTTTATCGGCAAAATATACCAGTCGATGTTCCTTGTATCAAGACAAACATGTAGCGAGTTGTTCCTGTTTACACAGTTGGCAGAATATTTTCTCTTCTTCATCGACGAAAGATTATCTTAAACAGTTCTGCTGTGCTGCTAGCAGTGACATTCATACTAATTCATCAGGTTTGTCGGTGTTTATATTGTCTACAATTTCTATAAAGCATGTTAAAAGTCAGGCAGTTCAGATCGGTTGCAGAGTGCAAAGCCGATCACACTGCTGCCGGTGTAAATAGTACATGCATTGCACAGCAAGACAGAGACTTGTTCTTATATAAACGAGGCTTAGATAACCAGTAATTTAGGCACACTTGAAGTGTAAGTTCATCACACTGCTGATCAGCCGCTTGCGGCCAGACGGTCAAATGTTCAGACTACTGACCGGGGAACAGTGCGTTCGAA